CTGGTATAACATGTTTTTTATTTACATAGCATAGTTAGGGAGTTATTGGGCCTTAGGCCCATTAGTTTATTTTTTAAGTTAAGAGTGTTTTTTAAGTTCTCACAAGTAGCCTACTTACTAAGGGCATACTTGGTATCAGAGCAAGTTTAAACATTTCTTGAGCTGCTCCATCATGCATCCCTAGGTCGGCAGATTGCATGATAAGGTAAAGGGCTAATTGAAGACGTCAGGTAAGCCCAGTTTTTGGATTTTTTTTGTGGAATTGCAATCCCTTGTAGCTGGTCTAGGGTTTTACACCAAAATTAGGAAGAACTGGAGAAGGGGGGAGAGTCCTATTTTAGTAGGAGTGTAGGACTCTTCAATTTTGACCTAGGAAGTGGTGCTCTAGTCCCAACCTTTTTGGAGGTCTCTGGAGGGAGCGACAGCCTCTTCTCTCTCTTCTCCCACTCCCGCGGAAAAGTGAATCTTTGGAGGGAGGGGCTTCTAGGGCTCTAGGAGGGTGTTTGAGGTTTCTAAAGGAGATAAATGCCTTCTTTTTCATCTCAAATTGATTTCTTTGTTGTGTTTGGACTATTATTTCTTTGCTGAAATGGCCTCGAATAGAGTTGATAATGTTCCTGTGAAACTTGATGGATCGACCTATGGGATTGACACTGCTTTTATAGCACATGGGAATAAGAAATCTTCTAATAGTTGTAATTCTTCTATTAAAGGTGATTCTCTGGCATCTATGGTTGAGGAAAACATTCAACAACTGGTAACATCTACTATTGGCTTATCTAGTGAGTTCTCTGGTTATTTTTCCTCTCCTTCTCATGTTTGGATCATTGACTCTAGAGTTACCAACCATATAACAGGAGCCTACCCTAACCAACCAAGTAACCTTATTGAAGCCCATCACAAACATATTGTTACTATCAATGGTGAAAAATTAAACACCATTGGTAGCGGTGATTTGTCTCTTAAGCTTTCTTCCATTGTGTCATTCCCTCTTACTAAGATCTTTCTTGTTCCTAATCTCACTACAAATCACATTTCTATTGGCCAATTAGTTGATGAAGGTAACTAACATTCTCACCTTTTCTCATGATGGATGTTTCATTCAGGACCAGAACACTGGGAAGGTGAAAGGGAAGGGGTGCAGGTTAGGCTATCTGTTTGCTTAAGGTTGAGAAGTCTCAAACAACATCATCTTATTTCAGTTCCTCCACTTCTAGTTCCTTTCTGAGTCACAAAAATAATAATCGGGACTTGTGGCATAAATGTATAGGTCATATACATGCTAAGAAATTAAAGTTTTTGTTTGATTTGGGTTATGTTAAGAACAAAGTTCCTTCTTTGTAGACCTTTGATACATTGTGTCAAAGGATATGTCCAGTTTGGGCCGTTTGTTTGGTTGAAGTTCGAGAAGTCTCAAACAACCTTTGACACAAGATGGCTGGTCATAAGAAGGGACATATCCTTTTTTTTTTATTTGGGTTTTGTTAAGAACAAAGTTCCTTCCTTCTAGACCTTTGATACATCTTGAGTCGAAGGATGATGCTATCAAAATTCCTTTGATACATCTTCCTCTATTCTTGGTAATATGTCTTCCATTCAAAAGTTGTTTGGCCGTCCCCTGTATTTATCTATGCTTCATGTTTTTGGATGTGTGTGTGCTTTGTTCATCTACCCTTTCGTGAATGTTCTAAATTGTCTACACAGTTTTCCATGTGTACCTTTGTGGGCTACAATCCTAACCACAAACAATTTCTTTGCTATGATCCCTCTATTCATCGTATTTGTACTTCACATAATGTTGTTTTTCTTGAGCATATCCCCTTTTTTGCTAAAATTGCTAGATCACCTACACCGTCTATTTCTATTTTGCCAAACTTTCATTCACAGGATGCTCCACCTCCTTATGCTGAGAAGGACCTTCTTGTCTTCTCTTGTAAGTGGTTACGTGCTCCAGTCCCTGCGCCTGCAACTCCCCTTTCTCTCAGTTCAGTCATCATCTCACAACTACTCTTGTAATTGATACTTCTATTTCTGCTACTACTATTAAAGATACTCCTCTTACCTCTCCGCCATTCTACTCATATCTCTAGACCTCCTAACCACTATGGTTTTCCTTCAAACAATAGCTCTTTGTCTATTGTTTGGTTTTCTATAGATATTTCTCGCTCCTACTAGGAAGCCAACAGTATCCCTCATTGGAAGGAAGACATGGATGCAAAAAATCAGACTTTACATAAGAATAACACTTGGGACCTTGTGCTTATTCCTCTAAATGCCTCCATTGTTGGGAGCCATTGGGTTTACACTATTAAGCTGAAATCCAATGGATCTCTTAATCGATACAAGGCTCAATTAGTTGCCTAGGAATATAGTCAAGAGTATGGCATTGATTATGAAGCCTCCTCCTGGATACTACAATGATTCTTTTCTAGTATGTCGCTTCAAAAAAACCCCTATATGGTTTGAAATAGGCCCCCAATCATGGTTTCAATGCTTTTGAGATGTTGTAGTTGTTGTTGGATATAGCTAGAGTTCCTTTGATCACTCTCTCTTTGTTAGGCAATGGTCTCAGGGTATTACCATTCTTCTACTATATGTTGATGACATGTAGATTAGTAGATTTGATATATTCAATTTAATTTTATGTTCTTGAATATTTCGTAAACCATAGTTTTCAAGGCGCCAAGGCGAAGCTATAGGCATTGGATTTTTTTTATGTTGAAAACATAGATCCTAGGGTAGTTCCCTAGGTACCATAACCATATTTCCTTAATAATTATTCATAAGAAAAATATAAAATTCATATTAAAGTATAGAAAATCAACATATTCATGAGAAGAAAAAAGAAGGAAAATAAAATTCAAAATATATAGGGGATGAACCCTTCTTTTTGTTATAGGAAAAGAAGAAAAGAAAAAGTAGTAGTAGTAGTAGTAGTAAGAAGAAGAAGAAGAAGAAGAAGAAGAAGAATATATGGAAGAATAAAATGTTAAACATAAATATGTATTGTTTATTGCATTATTTTATACAATACTAATTTTGAATATTATTCTTTTTAATTTTTATTTGGAGTTGTTAAACATAAATATGTATTGTTTATTTGGATTGCATTTAGACAATAAAGTTAATAAAAGTTTTTTTATTTCACTTATTATCATAAAAAGCTAAGTGACTGGGTAGTTTAAGAGCTTAAGCACCAAGCGCTATTGTGCTAGTTGATTTAGGTTTGAATCACCCCATTCCCATTTTTAGTAGAAAGCCGCATGTGTGCATGTATCGTTGTGTATCGGTCTGTATTGGTGCATATCAACCAATACAATTCGACATGGACTGATATTAGGGGTGATCATGGGCCGGGCCGGGCCAGGCCTGATTCCGGGCCAATGTCACTCATATATAAAACATTACATATCTATATATTAAATGACATAACATGCATATAAACTTATTTTATACATTATATAATATAAAATATTACATATATAAATTATACATGTCATGTTATAATATTTATATATAAAATATATAATATAATGTAAAATAACATGTATACATTATACACAAAATGTGTAAGTTTAAATATATGCGGGCCGGACCGGGCTTGAAGTATTAAGCCCAAGCCCGACCCTAAAATTTGCAGGCCTGATGTGGGCCCAGGCCTGAGCCAGGCCTGAACACAAAACCCAGGCCCAAGCCCGGAATTTCCAGGTCAGGCTTGTGTGGGCCAGGCCGGGCCAGGCTGAAATGATCACCCCTAACTGATATGCACTGGTATCGGCCTGATTCGAAGAATTGGTAGGATACACCTCCAGTCATAGTGTATCTTGTGTCGGTTAATAATGATATCGATACAATACACTCCGTACCAAACACATTGTATCGATATTTCAATCCTTGGTTCAAATATCATTATCGTGTATCATATCGGTAAGCTTGGATACAAATACGTATCACAATATGCTTTGGATGCACATGGATACAATGGATGTGCTTGGATACATTAGGGAAAATCTTACAAATCCCACAAATACATCAATAATAATAAATTTAAAGTTGAAATAACTATGAATAAGGTATAAACACATAGGAAAATGAAAACCTTGATAGTTTAATATGAAGAGATACATTACAATCAACAATACCATGAGTCTAGAAAATATACATATCAGACAATACATTAATAACAATACCTCAAACAAAGTTTGAGCTTCCAATCTACTAAAAGTTCACTACAAGACACATTAAATTGTTGTTGGTTCAATGAGTTTGATAGATCCATTTTATAGTTCTTCCTTACCATGAAAACCATTTAAAATATATAAATATATATTTTTTTAATTTTCATATTTTTCCTAAAAATTAAGAAAGTTTTTGTTTTTTATATAAATTATTGTTAGATAAATGAGCTTAAAGATCATTGATAGATCCATTTATAGTTCTTTCTTTTTTTTTTAATAAAAATCATTTAAAACTATAAAGAAATCATTTATAATTTTTTATAATTTTCTATAGGTTGTTGGGACAGCCTATAGAAATTTCCAAAAAATTGGGAAGAATCAGCATTTTTTACCTATGCCAGCGGTTAGGGAGCTATGGTGGTGGTTACAACCGCTACTATAACCTTTAGTGGCAGTCATGATTGCTGGAATAGGTTGGATCATTTTCCACAAGTTCCACATACCCACACCTTTGAATACCAATATGATACGCCCTGTATTGGGCATATCATGTCAATATTTTAAACCTTGGTATCATGCAGTGTCCACTCTTGTATCAAACACATATCGTGCCTGACATGGGTATAGTAAGCAAGCAAGGGTATCTAGGAATAAAAGGTCTCAGATATCTCAGATATTAAAGAAACATAGGTCCGGGTGACTGGGTCCCTAATGTCAAGTAGAAACAGATACACATTATAGTAATAAATGCATATCAAAACGTTGAAAGATAAGCCCTGATCTGTAAGTCAAGTAAACATAGAAATACATGAAAGAGTATACCTGTGCTCCCTTTCTGAAATCCTTCTTTTCAACTTCAGGCAGCATGTGCTTTGAATATCTTCCAGAACCATGTGGGCCAGGATCCTCAAAGCTGGAAAGCAAAAGAGAATGTGCATTAATATGATAGAGATTACATATTTGAACCTTCTCATCCAAATGGGTAATTCATCTTATTTTCAATATTAAGAACTTTCATCTTATAAATAACATCTCAACAAAACTGCAGTGGAACAATTAACCAAGAATTAGATGTTAAATTGTCAAACCAAATTCAAATTGCAATTGACCAGCAATAATCAGCAGAATGATTTATGAAATATATCCAAAACACACTCCCATTTAATAATACAATAGTCTTACCAATCAATAAAGCTGATATTGGTATCCATAAGATAGTTATACACATAATCGAAATTATGCAGTGGTACACAGCTGCAATACAAATTTACAAGTAATGAGAAAACTAATCACAACAATATCAAGCACAATTAAGAAAACATTGATGGAATGTAAGCAATTTGGTAACCAATAACCTGTCAGAAAGCAAGACAAAATGTTGGTTATCAGGGTCTTTGAGTGCATTTGCCAAAAGCCTCCTCTCAGCATCGACCATAGAAACTGTTCCCCATACCACCTGCATATATTTTGTTCATATCATCAGAAAGCTACTTGGCATAAAATAAGCCTCCAGCTTTCCCACTGAATCCATAAAAAATATATTCCATTCTCATACCAAAACAATAACAACAACCACAGAGATAAATATAACTCCTTACATCGAAAGCATTGACTATTTATTTTAAAGATTTCCTTTTTCTTAATCGGTAATCAAATGTTTACAATTATGTGTAAAGAAAAAAAAAAACCCAAAAGAAGCTTTAGAGTATACCACCTTCTATACCCAAAACAACAGATCACCTAAAACTACTAGAAGATATCTACAACAATCTTATAGAGACATTTTCACATGCTCTAGATATTGCTAGAGCATAATAACTACAAGGTGAAATAAATTATTTGAAGCAAGGGGGAGAGGCGGTTTACTTTTCTAGGCTAAAGTCCTTGTGGCAGGAGATAGATCACCTTGAGGCCGACCAGTGGGAAAGTCTCACAGATACAGCTACATATCAGTATTGGGTAAGAAGGAAAAAAAAAAGTTGAGCTTTTAGCTGGTCTAAACCCTGAATGTGATACCATACAAGAAGATATTCTCACACATGAAAATATTCCACTAGCACAAGCTAATTGACTAGTTCATGGTGAAGAGAGTAGGAGATTGTAGTGCTGGTTTCAGCAAAGACCAGACCTACTGGTGCTAGGGAAAGCAATGAGGACCATACTGTTATAGGTGGATACAGGAATTTCCTGTTGTTTGTGGATGATTTTTCTTAGTTCTCCTGGTTGTTTGTGTCTAGTGCATTCTCATGATGAAACTACCTGTTGCAATTCATCAGTTCTATCAAATTGTTCTTAAGGTTCAAATAAAAGTTCTCAGATTCAATATTCCAGAAAATAGTTTGAAAAAACATTGGCTTCTTATTTGTTGGAACGTTGAGTTATCAATAAAGCACCTACATATTCTTGATGCACATACTGTGCGAGAACTGGTGTGTTTGTGATCTTTGGATTACAATGAGAAGCCATTTATGTTATATTATGATTTATGACAATCAAAATAGCATCAACATTGCTCACAACCCAATTCCGTAATGATAGAACCAAGCATATAGAGTTGATAGGCATGTTATTAAACAGAGGATCTCTTTGGATTAAGTCTGATTGCCATATGTTACTTCTAATATGCAGATAACTAATGTATTCACTAGCAGAGTGATAAAATCTGAACTAGAAACAAATTTAAACAAGTTAGGTATGATTGACATCTATACGCAGCTTGAGGGGAAGTATTTCTTTTATGGTTAACAGTAATTTTTATTAAAAGTATAAACAAATAGAGAATTTATGAAGTTGAATGACCCTCATTTAGGATGACAAACCACCCCACTCATGCAAAAAAAAAAAAAAAAAAAAAAAAAAAAAAAAAACACATTACATGTGCCCAAAACAACCGTTCTCTATTCACCCCCTGTTTTTCCAACCCATCCTTCTTGTCATTTGTCAACCTTCTAACCCAATGGAATGAAGAGTTTTAAGTCCTTGGCCAGCTTCCATATATCCCTCGTATTGTTGCTATTGTACCCTAATCCTTGGCTCTATTTTACCAAAATCTAGCTTGTCTTTGGGTCCACCTCTAGACTAATGTATGTATCAGTTGTTGATCATTACATCAAAGTATATAAAATACTAAATTCAGGGCAACTAGAAATCAATTATATTGGGTTTAATTCCTCGAGGGGACTTGTAATTACAGTAGGGGGCAAGCCAGGGCCAGCTGATTATTAGGGTGCTTGGTGAACTGCTTTTTACCTGTTGTATTAGTAAACTCACTGATTGCTAACAATTTCAAAAATATAAACCATTAAATCCATCGATGCAAGTTCCAGAAGAGAAAAAATAATATAGATTGGAAACAGAATGTTGATTTCCGCAATTTTTGGAGGGACTCTCACCATACCTTATCACTGTGGATGCCCCGATTAATAAAATAACGGCTTACATGCACTGGTTTTTCTCTAGATGCATGTACATAAACAGTGAACCTGTCCTCGTGCCCCTACAAGAGCAAAAACATGGCCATTCAGGTGATATAGAGGGTTCACATAACCAAGAAAACAACAATTTTAATCAAAACTAAAAAAGAATGTCACATTTAGATAAATGAAAACCAATGAATAAATGTGGTCAAGAAAAAACATATACTTCTATTATCATTGGAGGGAAAAAAATAAACAAAGGATTAAATGCAAAATTAAGTTTATGTACAAATACCTTAGGCTTAGTTTGGAAGGAGTACAAATACATACAAAATACAAGGTTTTGCACTCTACATATTTGTATTTGTACTCCTTCCAAACTGAACCTTAGAAACAAGAGGTTTTAAAATAAGTAGGACCAAAATATAATATATGCTATGTAAATTAAATAATAATAATAATAACAATAACAATAGCAATAATAATAAGGGACAAGGGATACTCAATGGAATAACAATGAAAATAACAAATAACAACAACAACAATAAGAGTGCAAATTTGGGTAGACTTAGGCTGTGTTTGGTTGTAGTGCAAATAATATGCAAAACTATGTTAGTGCAAATGATTTGGGTGCAAATTCTGATTTATTTTTGTTCCAAATAGAAGAAAGTTGAACAATAAAGGTGTTGTGATTATTAAAAGAATAAACAGCAAAAGGAAAAAGAACTGAGCAAGAAGAGGAAGAGAGAAAGATGAGGGAAGAGGGAGAAAAAGAGTTGATTCTATTGTAACTCCCTTCAGCCCTATCTTATGTGTTTTACTAAGGTTGAAAAATAATTGTAGATGGAATTACATGAATGCCCCCAATAGGGCGTCTGTGTTGGTAAACAAAATAAAAATAAATAAAAGATGGCTCACATACTCAAGGCCCAATATAAAGAAAAACAACTTAGAAATAAAACCAATAAAAGAAGCAAGTTAAGGCCCATCTGGCCCAATCCTTCTTCACTCCCCCTCAAGCTGCGCATAGATGTCGATCATGCTCAGCTTGCTTATATCATGCTGCAACTTAACCTTTGGAACCCCCTTAGTCAAAACATCTACTAATTGTTCCTCAGAGGCAATAAAAGACATGCATACTTCTCCTGAAGCAACTCTCTTCCGTATTACGTGCCTATCTACCTCAATGTGCTTTGGTTCTATCATGATGCACTAGATTATGAGCAATGCTTATAGCTGTTTGATTATCACAATACAACACCATAGGCTTATCATAAGCAACGCCCAAGTCCTATAGGAGAGATCTAAGCCACAACAACTTTGAAACTCCATGGGTCATAGCTCTATATTTTGCTTTAGTTGAAAATCTAGCCACCATAGACTGCTTCTTACTCCTTCAAGAAACAATGTTCTCATCCACCATAGCACAATAACTAGATGTAGATCTCCTATCATCAATGCATCTAGTGCAATTTGCATCTATGCATGCTTCCGGTTTCATGTGACCATGTTTAGCAAAAGGAAATCCTTTTCCGAAGGTACTCTTCAAGTAGCATAGTACTCTCTCTACAACAGCCATATGTGTATCCCGAGGAGCATGCATAAATTGACTAATAACATTGACAACATAAGATATGTTAGGTTGAGTCATGCAGAGGTACAATAGCTTCCCAACTCAATGTTTTAAAATGCGGGGGCGTGACGCGAGGCGTTCCACTACCTAGAGGCGTGAGGCGTAGTTCAAAACGCAAGAGGCATAAGCCTCCCGAACACAAAGAGGCGTAAGCCTCCTTAAGAGGAGGGGGGGGTTAGGAGGAGGATGAAGAGTAAGGGGGATCTCATTTTTTCTTTATTTTTAATAAAAATCTTTTAAATTAAGAAGAATAAAGATGCATAACATTAGTTGAAAGGGGGGG